TGCACTTCAGCTTCTAATCTGATTTCCTGTCCAAACAAATGATCTCTAGAAAGCATCTGGCCCCCAACATTATAAACAGACGCAGAAGCTGCGGCTGAAATCAGTCATTGTTCACACAATTACTATTTTCTACATGGTGAATGGCCCTATATGTCACAAACTATGAAGACAATGATTAGAGTTCCAGCGTGAAGTTTAATGATAAGCAGGCAAACTGGCAAAGCAACACACACTAATTGTAAGAGTGACCAAAAAAGTGGCAGTGGCTCAGTGGTTCATGTAGGTTGTCTACAAACCGGAAGGTTGGTGTTTCAATCCCTGGTTTCACCTGACCAAATGGACTGCCAATCACTTTAGGGACACTTACAATGCTAAATCATAAATCAGATGTACCTATGTACAATATTATAATGATGTCCAGCAATCGATTAAAATGGTGCATTGTGTTTAATGAGATCTAATATGTGTTGGTGGCAAGAATTTTCACGTGAAGTAAAACATAAACCCGACATTTACACGCATGTGCTTTAATGGTCCAGTGACAGAACTTGTCAGAGGTCAGAGGTTCTAGGTTCGTGGGTGTAGTGGCTTGTGCAGGCAGCTGTGGTCACATGGATGACCTGCAGAGAAACTACTGTAGAGCGTCGCGGCAGGAACAGGTTCATGGCCTGCATGGTCTTCTGCCCATTCTGGCAGGCTAAAACGAGATGAGGGCGTGAACACCCTTCATTGGACATGTCATCACGTCGGGCTCAGTTGCTGCAGTTGCTGCAGGGCAACCAATGAGCACGCTAGACAGCCTGCTCTAGGTCTGCTAGCTGCTGCACTGCATTGACAATGAATACACAATTAAGGATAATTTTTTTGGCTTCACTATCTCGAATCAAGATTAATCTTTCCCGTACCGTAAGCTATGAGAGAACCCTTTCGTAAGAGAACTCAGATTTACAAATATTTATTTTTGGGAAATTCTAGTGAAATAACCTTTACTCCCTGAAAGAAAACATCTTTGTCTGGATGTAGCTGGATAGTGCCATCACGTTCTGGTACTGGTACAGCACACAGAGCACATCAATTATTTCTTGCTGTGTTCCCCGTGCTATCAGGATGGTTTTGTGTGGGTGTTTGGCAGTTTGGATGACGCAGAGAAAGTGTAGAAGTGTATTTTGGTGTCAAAACGGATTGCTGAGTGCCTCATAGTATGTGAAACCTCAGAATACAGAAATTAATACAGAAATGTCTGATCCAATAAAGACCAGCAGGCATGCGTTTACATCCACCAATTATTCCACCCACTCCTCAGTGTTTTAATTTGTATGGCAGCTTTTGCCCACTCATGTCCTAGTAAAAAAAAAAAATGTATGTTTTGCATGTCAAACAAAATGTTCTACATGGCAAATAAACAATGTTATATCAAAAGCTAAGTATAACATGCATTATATGTTGGTGAATTGTGAATGTATAAAACTATGTAAATGATTTGGCCTACATTTAGCTATGAATTATTAAATTAAGCATTTTACCCAAAATGGTAGCTTTGGGGTAAAGTGCATCAAATGCATAGGGGTAAGCTGTGCCATTGGCACAACCAATAGGCATAGCAAGCTTAGCCTCTAAACGCAAGAAATGAATTTCAAACCATTCATGATGAATATTGCAAATATTACAAATACAAAAAATCAACAACTAAATAGCAGACATACTGAAATATAATTATTAGAGCACATTTTAATTAAAATTGCACAGCTTACCATTTTTTGACAATAAGAAAAAAAATTCTGAACATTTTGAAGTGTTGATGGATTTTTAAAGTGTTAGTGGTGCGTATGGTCTATGCAAACAAGTTCATGGCTGAAAAATGCTCAAACTCTAAACAGTATTTTTAGCCAACAACAACAAAAAGTATTTCATCTTCAGCTTATTTCAAATAGCACATGCATCAACATGCTCTCCGGCTCCTTGGCAACCAAGGCTAATTATTTCTCCCCATCTCAAGTTCTATGTTTGGATCAAGGGCCAGCATCATATTTTCTGCGGTTTCTTCATTCTAATGGTTCTGAGGTTCAGTAATTTACTACTCTTCTAATTTAGTTAAAGTTTCAATAACCTAAATGAATGTCTGACTTTAATTAAATTTTAGCTTGCCTCTGAGACTCTGCTCATTTTAGAATGTTTCATCGCCCATTTATTTCAGAGTGTCATTGATTGTTTTTGCTTTGTTTGGACCGCAACTTCAATCTACTTGATTAATTTGAGCTGAAGTTTCAATCAGGCCATAACCAATGAACTGGGTTTTGGGTTTCTGGGACTGTGCTTTGCCAGAAGACATTAGTGCAATTAGTATTGCTCTGATTAAAATCATTGTAAAATGCTATGGATTTTTAAACTAATATTTGATAAACTAATATTGATATTTGATAGTTATCTAGTGATTTGTGATTATTTTGCAAGCATTTCATTTAGTTATTTTCATTTAAAGAGATTGTACACCCTAAAATGAAAAATTAAGTCATCATTTACTCACCCTGGTGTTGTTCTGATGCTGTATGCCCTTTTGCTTTATGGACCACAAAGGGAGAATTTTTATCCATATAGTGGCAGTGAAGAGCAACCAGCATCAAGCTTTTTAAAAAAGAATGATCCCATGCAACACAAATATTCCAAGTGTTTTTGGGGTATACTATGTGAAATTTTATGCATTATTAAACATGAAATGCAATGCCTAGAAATCACAAAAAAGCCATCCTTGTACTTTCTTTACTAAGTTAAAAGTACAATATGCAGGATTTTTGCAGTAAAATATCCAAAAACCACTATGCCAATGTTATATATTTTGTTTTGTTGATTACTAACAATGTCCCAAATGTTTCCAAATTCTTTTTGTAAATCTTGAAAAAATTGCAATTTTAACCAAGGAAACGGGGCGTGTGAGCAGAGGTCAGGAGTCCCCAGTCAATGGCGTCATATCCGTGTTAGCATCGGTTTCCGCCAGGTTGGCACTCGCACTGCGATAGTAACCATGACGACAGACGTGGACAACCGGGTTATTGCCGTTATGCCTAGCAAGACGCTCATGCTGTTGTTGTTTCGTTTAAACATTATGGACCATGGCAAGGAGACTTTGAGACAAAAAGGAGACTAAAACGAAGATCAACATCTTTCGACAGGTCAACTAATCAATGTTTAGTTCAACATGATGAAACGTTAGAACATGATCTGTGTGTTATTCTAATGTTGATCTAGCTCATGCTAGTCTCATACAGCCAACAAACAACCTAGCAACATTCAACACACTCAAATGGCGTTTTGTGTGATAGTGTAACTGTTAGAGGAAGTGAAACAGCGCTGCGTTGCCTCAAGTTTAATTCGTCTAATAAAATGACCTGTGTGAATATTAATTTAGCACTTGTGTGTAGTTCGGTAGAATGAAATGTTGTTATTCCTTTATATCTGCGGGACTCGCGTTGCGTGTGGAGCTAGTATACAACTAGCAATCGCGCCCTGCTATACACTACAGTCATGTTAAAAACATCAATGTATTCGCTCATCAGCTTGACGACAAGATCCATACTCTTAATGTGGAATATACGTCATCATTATATGCTTTTGTTATTGTAAGAGGTTAGTGATGCCTGGTGGTGAAAATTCCTGCATATTGTACCTTTAAATCTCTCTAGAAAGTCAGAATGACAGTTGAACACGAAAACAAACACAATGGATATATTCACCTCCAGAAGAAGGTACATGGATTGTATTTCATGTCGCATTTTTGTTGATGTTGATTTCTCACAAATGGGGTGCTTTTTCTGAGCGAGACAGAGTGAACTGCAGCGCACGTTGTGCTGCCCTGGCCTGCACTGAATACCAATGGCCACGGTCTGAATTTTCGTTAAATAATGCAATAACTTTCATATTGTATACCCCCAGAACAGTTGGAATACACGACATGTGTTGCATGGGATCATTCTGATATGCTTTTGAATCATTTAAAAAAAAAAAAGCTTGATGCTGGTCGCTACTTACTGCCATTATTTGGACAAGTGTGAGTGGGACATTTTAAAAAAATGTAAATGATTACTTAATTTTCATTTTATGGAGACCAATCCCTTAAATGATTTGCAACCAGGTCAAATATACATACCATTTCAGTTCACAAGCAACCTTTAATTGAGGGTCTAGATTAAATATGTCATTTCAAAATGTATCTGGATAAAATGAATTTTGTATATAGACGTTCAGGGCCATTTTGATTTCTTTTTTCATTTGAACTCAGTAACTCAACTTTACGTTCTCAGAAACACTTGAATACGTATGAATAAACTTTCTATGATGGTTTACTGATGCCTTAGTTGAAGTGTTTTCATACAATTTTTTTCTTAAAAATAATTGCAGGTCAGCAGGGTTGATTTTTTTTTATTGCAAGTGTTAATACTACTTTATTTATATTAATAATAATTAATTCAATTATTATTCATATAAATTATTTTCACACGTATCCCCAGTAATATCATCATTAATACCTTAAAGTGTAGGCCAACCCGGACGTTGGCATCACCCTGATTCCCTTGACAAAAAACCCAACAGCATTTTTCCATTGGCTTTTGGATTATTGCAGAAAATAAGGTCTGTGAATAACAAATGCTTATGCTTCTAATCTTCACAAATGAACACAACTTTTATGATTTCACTTGGAAAATACAATCGGCAGAAGTCAAAACCTAAAACATAGGCTATAAACGAACTTGTGAAAGTTCTTTCAGTCTTTATTTAAATACATTTTCCCTAAAAGTTTGAGTTATAATAGTTTGCTAGAGTGTCAATACGAACACAATGAAGCTGTGAAAGTGGACTAGTGAATACTTGTCCTGTTTGGCATGATGATGTTTAATCTCCCCAACAACTTCTGTAGTCCTATTTAGCCACTTGTCAGTAACTGCCTTTTACAAGACAAGTCAAATGGTGCCATGGTCCTGAACAGACTATAAATATGAAGGGCTTACCATGGAAATAGCAGCCAATGTCCTCCTGGCTGCATTTTGACAGCCTTGGCTCCCGCTGCCATAACAGAGGAACAATATGTACATCAGGAAGGTCTCCAAAACAGCTGCAGCATCATATTTTTAGTGGACATAAAGGTACGTCTTGCACCCAATCCCTAATGCCACACTTTTCTCTTGAACTGAAACTGGCGATGATCATTAATCACTGTCAAAAGAAGAAAATGAGAGGCTGAATTTAGTCAAGTGCACTTTGCCAGAATCCTTGATTTAGATAAAGATCTTAATAATTAAAATGCATACTGTATTTTACTCTCAAGATTAAATAAAAAGATTGAGACTTTAAATGTTATTATGAACGTGATTATGAACGTGAAGCACTATGCACTATACTGGTGAAATAATCTCAAGCTGGCTTGAAGCAGTCTTTCAAAATTGAAAAATCCAATAAACAAACATGCATTATTTTTTTTATTTTTTTGTCCTTGAGATATACACGTTTATCCTTTTGCTGTCAAGAGAGTCACAATACGATGCTAATGTCTTCAACACCCCCACAAGGTCAGGAATCCATCAATTTTGATAAATAGAAAGACCTTGACTGCACTGAAGCATCTATCCCCAAAAACCAATTGCAATGCAATCTGGAAATCAGAGGCTCGCTGAATTTAAAGAGCAACCAAACACTCAACTGGTTTCCGAATGAATTCACAATGACCAACATGTCTTAAATAATAAATAAAGCGACAAACTCATGCTGAGGTTTTGTGGCAAGACCACTCAAATATCAAATATTCTATCATCTAACAGTTGTCCTTTTGTCTATGAGGAGGTGTGTAGTGGCGGTTAAAGATTAGGGCTGGTAGCAAAGTTTGAAGGTAAAAAAAACCCCACTAAGGCCACGTTTACACAAAGCCGGGTATTTAGCGAAACGAATATTTTCCCCCTCTCCGTTTTAAAAAATAACATCGTTCACACACCCGCATAAATACACAGTCAAGCCAAGCGCCATCATAACTATGCCAAACCTATTGGCGGCAGGGAGAAGGATAAAGCCATGCAAGCCAATCAGAATCCTCAGAATAGACAAGAGAGAACCTAAAACGCTGTTTCTCCCAGTTCACACGACAACACATAACTGGCGTTTTCAGAAATCTCCACTTTGGCCGGAGTTTTTAGAAATAATCGTTTTCTGCCATAAAAACAGGGTTTTCGTGTAAACGAGAGGCCAAACCGCAGGGAAATATCTGCGTTTTCCCTTCGTGTAAACGGGGCCTAAATGACTAGTTAACCAATTAAAAAGTTAGTTCCCAAAAATGTGTATTCTGTCACCATTTGCTCACCCTCATGTTGGTGGAACACAAATAAAAGAATCATAAGTTGTCTTACATGGTTTGTGTGCTCTATTCTACGTCTTCTAAAGCTGTATGAAAGCTTTTTGAAACAAAAAAATAATCAAAAATCTTTACAGCAACTTTCAAATCTTTCCAAAGTACTGTATCTATGATATTCTGGTCTCTGTATATGGTTCTATATCTATGGGATTTGTTATATTTGCTATTTTATTAACATTTTCCAAACCTATCGGAATATGTCTCGGATCAAAACATATTGCCTATAGACTCAGACAGTCCGCTTTTACCTCCTCCTGTAAACAGCACCTTGGCTCTGAAACATATTTATACACACACTGCTGTCATGGGCCAAGAATGTGCTGGCATGACGGTAAATTGGGCTGACAAGGAAGGCAAGCAGGACCCGCGGCGGTCACATGGTGGTGATCATGTGACAGTCTGAGCCAGAGAAGAGTCACTAATGATTACATTGTGCCTACACATTCACTCTGACCATCTCCTGCTCAATTCAGGATGCATTTATAATGTTTAGGTATAATGTAGATTCTGGATGAAATCCCTGATGCATTTCAAATGTGCTTAGAGTGCAGATACTGAGACAATGGAATATTAATGCAATGGAAAATGCTGCTTACAACACAATACACACTGTATAGAAGCAATACTGTAGGCTGATACTGTAGGCTCCTATGTGCTGATACAACAAATACATGTACTGTAGATGTTGCACTATACTGTAATAAACAGAAATGCATCAAATTGCCTCACATACAGATTCCATTTTGTTTCGTGACTGCTTCCAAAGGATGTGTTAAAGTTACAGTAATCAGTACTTCTATTTTTCTAGGACACAGAGGCGATGAAATGAAAGAATCCTGCCAAATATTTCAGTTGATGCATGCCAGCTGGGAACAGGCATGCAAGAGGATTTTACACAAGCAAGCAACATAACCTACCAGTTTTGGAAATGTTGTTTTGACTTTATTGTTTACCTCTATTATTTACCAGTGTTTAAGACTGTGTGTGTGTGTTTGTGAGGGCTTGTGTTTGGTTTTTCATCAAGAGTGAATGGTTTTGAGTGTAGAGCTTCATTTTGACTTGAAAATAGGATGTCTGGGGAATTGGGTGAGAAGTTATGGGTTTACTGTTTTGAGAATACGAGGCATAGTTTGAAGAAATGTGTTAAAGCAATCGAGAAAAAACTGTAATTATTAGATTCAATAATCTCAACGAATCTCGCTTGGTCCCGAGATTGGCCGACCAACTTCCAATGGAAAACCACCATCAAACATCTGATTCATCATTGTTCTGCGTTTCTCCCTCGTATCGCATCTCTCACTTTGATATGCCTTTCCATTTCTCTGTAGCCAATTTATCCCTAGCACAAGCCCCTTTGGCTGATGCGCAGTGTACACTGTAATAAGGAGCAACCCTCATTAAAGAGGTTCGCTGGAGGAATTGTGACATTACTGTCCTTCAAACATGCAGATGTGCTCATATACACACTGATTCATTTCCTATTATGAAAAAATGTCTTTGAAGAGAATATGAGCATCTTCAAATATAGTCCCAGACATCACTGTGATTATACACGTAACATACACTACCTGATTATCGGTTCTGAAGCTGCCAAAATTCTTGAAATTTACACTCTAAAAAATGCTGGGTTGTTTTAACCCAACTTTGGGTCAAATATGGACTAACCCAGCCGTTGGGTTAAATTTTTACATTACATTTTTAACCCAGCATTTTAGGTTTGTCCATATTTGACCCAAAATTGGGTTAAAACAACCCAGCATTTTTTAGAGTGTAGTAAAGCTCTGCAAACAAGGAATCTAATAGCACAATATTTTGAAAAAATAACTCTAGAAATGCATGCTTGAATGTCAGGAATGTTCCATAAACAGCACCACAAAAAAAAAAAAATTCTAGGAACTCTTCCAGAAATATCTGCTTTTTAAATTTAATCTTTTAAAAACATTTAAAGATTTTCCTTGAAAGTGTCAAAACTTTTTAAAAACTTTCTTAAAATGACATCACGAAACATGAAAATAATCATCATATGTAAATCAGAACAGCTAAATAGAAATGTAGAAATTTGATCCCTCGACTGAGCATGATAAATGATCATAATCATAATATTAGAGCAGAATTGTAATAAAAGCCTCAATTTGGAGGAAGGCCATCTGTGTTTGCTATTTACTGGGTTAAACATATACATTACGCTCCAGGGCATCTAAATTCATTTGAATCCCGGTGGCATCTGGTCACCTACTTTTTATAATCATTCTCACAGATAGTAAGTGAACCTAAAAATAGACCCATGCAAAGCCTAATTTTGAGGCTAAATAAAAAGATTACTTCACATATGCCATATTTCACAATGCCATTACTTATGACAATAATGATTTAATATGGATGCAGTAATGCGAAAGAATAATGTATTCCATGTTACATTATTAAATTACCTCAGTCTTTGTGGGAGCCTGCTCTTTTCTCTAATTTAGAAAATGCTGCTGAAGCAGGAATTCTGATAAACTCGCATTATTTTTCTGGAGCTGGAAGGTAAAACTGCACTTCCTTTTCTTATCCTTTTGAGTCAGGCAAGATGCAAGATGGAGCTCTCTCTCTCTATCTATCTCACCCCTGACAGCTGATGCAGAATAATGCCATACAGAGGGAAAAAGAGAGAGAAGTTAACTTCAAATCTACAGTAGAGATGAGATTTGTGGGAATAAATCATTGTCTTTTCATGACACATCCCAGGCTACCCAGCCAGAAACGGAGACAGTTTCGGAGAATTCATAGAACTGTCACAGCATGCATTTAAGTATTCGCTTAGCATTTGAAACCTTTACATCGGACATCTTTGCCGGTAAAGGGACAGTTCACCCCAAAAACAGTACACATTTCTTTCATCTGTGGAACATAAAAAGATACTTTGAAAATTGTTTTAAGTGTTTTTATGCAATGGAAGTCAATAGCCATAAAAACGGCTTGGTTATCAACATTCTTCAAAATTTTTAATCAATGTCTATTCCTATATGGGTGATCATATATGAACATATGACAGATGTAGGAAATATTTGGCCTGAATTGTCACAGCCCATGGTGTGTGACCTATATTAACAGGGAATCCCGTGGGTGCATGTGCGGGGCAGTAATGATGGATGTTTGCTTGAGCCAAGCAATGAAGCATAACACAATCTATTCTCCTGGATGGGCAAACACCTCAGGTCTCGATCTCAAACACCTATACACATACTCGCATAGACGCACATGCACACACACATCAACCTCCTGGAAAGAATAGTTTTTCATCCTTGTCCCTAAGTGATATTTCACCTGCCAGAGGCCTGGCTTCTTTATTACCTCTGATAGCTTTCCTGTTCTGTAGCTGATAACCTCACTTCCTGGTTCTTAGTCAATGTCGCCCTATTGGGTTTCATCTCATTTGTCAATGTAGACTTTTCCCCTTGAGTCTATTGGCCTTTGTGGGCATCTGGAGAAATATCTTCAATCTGTCTTTTACAGTAAAAACGGCTGCATAGACGGCTCTTTAACATTTTCCTGCCTTGTTTTATGCTATATGGTGGATTTACATACATTGTGGCATCATAACTTAGCATTATATATTTTAGTTATTAAATTGATAGTCTTTCTGACCACCTAATTATGTAAACAAACCCCTTAAAATATGACCGAAACAACAGTTGATCTTAAACAATGCCATTTAGAATGAAGTAAACACATTCATCTCATCCACTTCTTATATGCGACACTTAATTAAGACATTACACACAACCACAAAGAAGTCTTTAAACACAAGGTGAAGGCAGATGATTTGTAATGG